TTATTATTATTATTATTATTATTATTATTATTATTATTATTATTATTATTATTATTAAAAAAGGATCACAGATTGGCATTGTTTCTTCCTCTCAAATCTCCTTTCAAAGATTATCTACTTGATTGTGTGTGAGACAATGATTATATATTCCTTTTATTTGTTTCTTACATATTCCAATTTTATAGAAAAAAACTGTTAGGTGATTATTTGTTAGAAGCACATTCTGGACATTGAATGAACATTGAAGAACATTCAATTAAAGAAATACACTGGGCAACTCCTTAAAAAGAAAGCTATTTTATCTGAGAGCATAGAGCTACTTGAGGTAGCTACAATTTAGGGTGCAGAGGTTGGTAATATTTATAGGAAAGGCGATCTTTTGTGAAATGTTTGAATGTGCTCTTTAAAGCATTTGTTTTGATGGATATGTAGCCCTAGTGAGCAGATGTCCTTATCTAACTTTCTGAATGCACAGATCTTTCCCTTGATGTATGGTTATGGGCTGATTTTAGGCACCTCACTTGTGTGTTTAGGAAAACTCTGTATCTTTAAAGGAATTGTCTTGTTAGCTATTCTTTGAGAAGGATGCAGTTTAATCAGTTCAAGGTGCCTGTCAATTATTAGCTTCTTCTAATTTCTTTACTTACAAGTCATGTTAATAATTGAAAGGAATGTCAAAAGGCAGCACAGGAATAAAATTCTTCCTGAATTAAAATGTCTTCCAACATACTCCTGGAAGAATGTCTATAATCTCAATTTTAAAGTTGTTTTAATAAAATATATCAATTATTAAATTATCAGTCTTTGTAATAGCTTTATATCAATGGAGAGGCAAAACCAGAAAAATCTGATTCTATAAAGTCTAGATTCAATTCATTGTTTATGAACTATGTAAACCCCAATTTGGAAAAGAAAGAGAAAGTCATGTAATCTTAGTAGTTCAGTAGCTATTCCTTTCTTTATCTATTTATCTTTAAGTTGACTTTGATATACAGTTATATGTATTTTGCAAAAAAACTAATGTCACTTATTTAAATAATTTTCTTTTATATATATGCACACAACACACACTTATATTATTTAGATATCTCTGGGTAGTCCTCAGTTAATAACCACCTGTTTAATTTATGTCAGGGTTGAAAAAGTAGCTTTCTGACCAGTTCTTGAACTTACAACCACCACAGCATGGTCATATGCTAACCATTCAGTCGCATTTCAACTTGCATGCATTTATGATCATCGTTAAGTGAGGACGATGTATATTCTCAACTCAATGTATATTACTCAAACAGTAATATACATTATTATAGTAATANGACAGCTTGGGTCCAAAAAGGGACCGTCCAAATGCTTCGGAATAGAAGGAGCTTCAGGAGTAGCCTGAAAGTCCGTCTTCTCACTGCTAAGCTCCACCTTCTTCCAATCCATACTTTCTTTGAACTGTGCAAATTAGGCAATCAGAAATGTTCTGTGTCAACATTCACTTTTTTTTCAAAGAAGTATTCCTAAAGTCTAAAATGTAATTAGGAACATTTTTTTCAACTATAAAATTTTTATGCTTCCCTTGTGTTCTACAGATAGCTCACTAAGTTGTATGGGAACTGGAACATTCTGACTGGGAAAATTAATACAAAAGCCCTTTGCCATAGTTTTTCCTATAACAGAGCACGAGGGAGGGTAAAATGTACATACAATAGACAACTTATATCTAAATGTTCAATCTACTTGTGAGCATTCTATAGTAATTGTTTTCTAGTTTTACAAAAAGGTCTCTCAAGTGAAATTAAAATTTCACATTACTAACTTGAGTTATAGACAGTCCTCAACTTAATGGGCATAATTGGATCCAAATTTCCAGTGTAAGTTGTTATTGTTGTAAGTCGAGGCACCCCCTGAATGGAACTGATTTTATGACATTTTTTGTGTTGCTCATTAAGCAAATCCATGGTATCAAGTGAATGCCTAAGTATGAATGAGCATCAACAACTGATACTTGATTGGATAATGAGGAGATTGGGAATTTGCTCAGTATGGGAGGCGAACAGGAATATTATATATTATATAATAATGTATATTATATGTACATGTATCCTTCCCAGGAGAGGGGAGAAGAGAGACAAGAGGGAGAGTGGAAAGCACACATGCACATAACACAAAGCAAATGGGTAAATGACGCCAGCTGATAGAGATCATTCAAGGCGACTCTTGCTGGTGGCTGACCATCCAACTCTGGGTTACTCGCTGCTAGCCCTGTTACTTTCAGGACTAGGGACTTGCATGGAGCTCTAAGGAACCCCAAAGATTAATGGATCTGAACTGACCATCATTTATTGACCACCTATAAAACCTAGATGTTTACTGACCTCCGTTGAAGCTCAGCCATCTATCAACACCATGGATACTTAGTCCCATCAACACTTTGAGATTGATACTAACCTCTTTGGGGAACCCTGTTAATGATGTTTGCTATCTCTTTGTCATATGCAGCTTTTTGCTGTCTTACATCCTAGCAAAAAAAAAAAAATTAATGGAACAGCTCTGGACAATGCCATTTGGCTGGTGGCTCTATCACTTAACTATATGTTACCTTTTTTTTACAGGATGCTCTTTCCAGTTTTAATGAGGCTTTGTTGCTGCTAGGTGGCATTGAAAAATATCTTCCTAATACCTTTGAGACTGCAGAATTATATTTTTTAATGGGCGAGTGCTACATGGAGCAAGTTTTTCTATTAGAGGTATTCATTTTGACTTTAACCTGACTCAAAATAAAAACCAGAACATTCCAAGAATTGCATGGGCGCCCAATTCATTCCCTACCCATATTCACAAACTGGTAATTATGATCATTAAGAGTCTGAAGTATTAAGACCAGGCTGGCTAAAGAACTGTTTTTCCAACTTGATATTCCCACCATTTGCTCTAATATCTTAATGAACCAAGGAAGGCGTGTTTTAAAGGGTGTTTTTCAGATTTGGAAAAACTCACTTAACCCCACTTTTGTCAATTTGCTTCAGTTGGCAGATTTCCTTCTCTTGAAGCCAGCTTTTGATCTGGCAAGTTAAATTTAGTTTTGTCCCTGAGTAGAATGTAATTGATATACTACTCTTAATTTTCTACATGGTTGCTCTTATTACTTCCTATTAAATATTATACAATTTATCATTGATACTTATTTCAACATATTTCAGAAGATCTTCTTCATTGTTATTTGCCACCTTAAGCATATTTGTAAATTTGTTACCTTAACAAATTTACCTTAAGCATCTGTCTGGAAAGGTCATTATTATTATTATACAATTGTATCACAGCGGCCAGTTGTTTCGCCGGATTTGGCATTGGTTACTAGTCGGGCCCCACCCAGGGGCCTAGGACGTCGTAACGTATTATTATTATTGTTGTTGTTGTACAATTGTATCACAGCGGCCAGTTGTTTCGCCGGATTTGGCATTGGTTACTAGTCAGGCCCCACCCAGGGGCCTAGGACGTCGTAACGTATTATTATTATTGTGTATATTTGCCCATGTAGCATGGCTACAGCATTATTATTAATAATAATAATAATAATAATA